CCGTTGGAGCCAACTTAGTGCATGAATCAACAAACGCAAGTCGAGTAGGTCGAGAGAGTTGGGAAGTGAATTTATCGCAATGGTAACATCGGACAGCGACTCTCAACTTTGCGCCAGAGTGAAGCTTTTGGCAGTCGCTGGAGCTCCTTGCCACGCCGCAAAGCAGTCGAGGGCGCGAAAACGCTGTGTGGCAGCCGTGTACGCGACTTGCTTGCGCTTGGCCGCGTCGTATCCCAGCTCGGCAAGCGACGCATCGAGCTGCGCCGCCGCCGCAAAGAACCGGCGTCGTGTGAGGCGCGAGCTCATTTTTCGCTTGATTTGGAGATCCACGACCTTCTTCGTGCCCTACACGAGGTCAAGTACCGCTACATCTGATGCACACCCTACCATTTTGAGACCGCGCGCACCCACGAGGTACTCGACGTCAGGCTTGGCGTCGACCAGCGCGACTGCCGTCGGTGCCGCTGCGCGGAGAGATGTCCAGTTGAGCGCGAGTCCCGACGCGCTCGTTCGAGTACTTGGCGCCAGCGATCGCGTGAGCGGAAAGGTCAAGGCCGTCGTTGCCACGCTGCAGGTCGAGTTGCCTCGCACCAAGCTCTGCGAAATGGCCTCTGCATTGCACTGGATAAACTCTTGAAGCCTGTGGCAGCTCGTACCTTGAAAGCTTTTGGGATCGCTTTGAGTGTCGAGACTCACTACGACGCTCGCGAGATACAGCTACGTGCATATCAACACGTGAGCAGCCTGGTGACACGTCGCGGCCGTCGTGTACAGGCGCAAACCACTGGGAGAGCAAACTGCCTTGGAGCCCGACACAGAGCCACTTGCAGATCTTGTCGCTGCACGACATGGATACCGTTCGGTTTGACTCGGGAATGTCGGTGCGACCCGACTTGACGCGCGCCAGGCCGCGCACGTGCGAGTGGGTCGAGCTCTCGACGACTTTGGCGCCCGTTGTTCGCATCGGCACGGTCGTGACCTCGGCGTCGTTGAGCTTGCGCCGCTTGACCTTGGCCTCGCGAATCTCGTCGAGCACGTCGGCTTTGAGGTCATAGAGCGCAGCGTCGCCACACGGCGCTTCACTCACGTAGAGATGCAGCGTGCAGCCCGGCTTCAACGCGAGCTTACCATCGTCGTCCGTTGCCGCCGTAAAAATGGACGTCTCGTTGGCGACGCCAGCCTGGCGCAAGCTCAGCTCGTAGTAGAGGTACCGCAGGAAGGCGCGGCGACACATGACCTCGGCGTGGCCATCGTGGATGAGGTAGCCGTCGGTGCAGAGCGCACTCTGGCCAAGGCATTTCGTGCCCGACCCGACGCTGAGCACCTCGAGGGCTCCGTCGTTCTCGAGGACGATGGCTGCCAGCACCGTGTACTCGTTGGTCGCATGCTTCTTGACCGGGACCTTGGCCGCGAACCAGGCGAGCGCGGCCTCGGCGACGCGGTCCGGATGTGCCATGCCGCGGAATGCAACTTGCGTTTTGCACAGGACCCCCTACGTTGTGTGCCGATTTTAAAGCGTTGTCCTTGGGCTAAAAACACCGCATTTAGGCTTTTCGTGCCGGGCGAGCCGTTGGCATCGCATGCACCGTCATCGACAAGCCGTGGTCACTCGCCTCGTGCCGCTTCAGGGTGGTATGCCTTATTCTTCAAGGTCTGCGCTGCCATTGAGGGTCGGTACACAAGGCGGCTTCGCGTGCTGCTAAAAACCGGATGTATCCTAATTAGGATAAATCGTTTCGGAGGGACCCCTCCCCGGTAAAGAAACCTTGTCAACCAGCAGTACAAATCCACTGGGCTGCCACCGTGGAGGTCATGGCGCGCAACTACCATGCCAAGTACAAGGAAGGCGGGCGGAAGCGCCGGCCCCGCGCTTCGTCGCCATCGAGCGACGACGACTCGGACGACGCTATGCCCGTGCGCAAGAAGGCGAAGCGCGCCAAGCCGCCGACGAAGGCCAAGGCCAAGAAGCGCAAGCCGAAGCCCGACTCGTCCTCTGACGCGAGCGACTCGAGCGACGCGAGCGACGACGACGAGGACGTCTACCTACACATCCAGAACGGATCCGGTCTCTCGACGGCCGTCAAGCAGACGACCTCCACATCCAAGAAGCTCGGGCGAGGTGACCGGCATCTGCGCAGCCGCCACCTGTGGCCGGTCGACCCCAAGGGCGCGCCGTGGCTTCCTGATACGACCAAGTCCATCTCGATCAGCGAAGAAATCTACCTCTTGGCCAAATACGTGCGCATGCAGCCGCTCGAGGTCGAGGCCCGCCGTGTCTTAAGCAAGAGCATCATGCGCATGGTCGAGACCCACATGGCGCCGACGCCCGTGGCGTTCGACCACTTTGGGTCGCTCGCGCCCGACTGCGAGTCGCGGGCGACCTTTCGCAGCGACATTGATCTCTCGATGGAGCGCGCGCCCGAGGTAGACGCCAAGAAGAGCGACGAAGATGCGACGCCCGACAGCACGGACGACTCAAGCTCGTACGAAGACGAGCGCGACCCGAGCGGCGCCATGAGCTTCAACTTTGCATCGTCGTTTGCACCCAACGCCAAGGAGATGGACGGACCCTCAAAGGAGTCAAAGGCCCAGCAAGCGCGGTTCCTCACGCGGGCCAGCGTCGGCCTCCGGCAAGGCGACCTCTTCCGCATTCACGTCCGTGGCCGGGCCAAGGTGCCCATCATCAACCTCGTCCATGTACGCCTGTCATTGATGGATGCTGTTGTACTATCGCTCAAGGTGTGTAGCATGTCTCGAAGCTCGAGGTTGACATTAGCATGGGCGTCGACAAGACGTCCGTGAGCGACCAAGTCATTCGGTGGTTTGCGGCCACGTACCCCGTCTTCAACCCTGTCATCGTAAGTTGCTTCTGCGATTCCATTCGCACACTCTGCAAGTTGAATTATGACATTTGGATGCTATTGTAGGTCCTGCTCAAGGAATTCCTGCACCAGTCGGGCTTGAACAAGCCGTTTGAAGGCGGTCTTGGCAGCTACCGCCTCTACGTCATGGTCGGCCACGTCATCAACGTCGTCGACGAGCCGTCCAACGCGTGGCGGGTTCTGAACCTCTTCTTCGAGTACTATAGCAGCGCCGGGCGCTTTCAGAGCACGACGGTGCTGCGTCTGCAGATCCCCCGGACCAACCTCCGCGTACCTCTCACCTGCAATCATGGACCACGTGCCAACTCTGGTCGTAGTGCGAGGCCGAGTTCAAGGCCATCTTCCGCATACGCGAGTGCAACTCGCTCTTTGCCCTTGCGGCCGAGACGCTCCGGAGTGCGATCAAGCAGTCGCCGCGCGCGCCGTCGATCCTCGCGTCCATCTTTTGCACGGTCCACCTCCGCGAAGACCGGGACGAGAGCGTGTCGCGCGCCAACGCCGTCCTGTTGCTGCAACAAGCGCCAGTGCCCAAGGACGAGCCGAAGAAGGAGATCAAGGACCTGCGGTTTGGGAAGCGGCACGTAGTCACGTCGAGCAAGAAGCTCAAGAAACTGCAGACCAAGAGCAGCACGCCGTTTCCGCGTGCGCCAATGCGAACCCAAACGATCGTCGTCGACTACAACGACTAGAGGCCACCGTTGCTATGGGAATAACTCGACCTGCGTGTTGCGTGCGTCCTTTCTTGGCATCCACGCCACCCGTCCGTCGGCGATTAAGCAGCGTGAAAGAAGGTGCCCTCTTCCTACGCATTTGCGAGGTGGCCACCACGACCGTCGTGTGGACCGTGGGCAGGACTCTTATACCTAGCAATGACGCCGACGGACACGCTACCGTGAGGCTTTGTTGACATCGATCGATGCAATCAGAAAGTGGGGCTCTCTCCCGGGCTTGAATCCGGATCTAACTGGTGCAAAGACTAAGCCAGTGTCTAAACCGCCAGACGAAACAAGTCGACAAGACCACGCCTTCTTGATTGATACCGTGACACCCGTCCAAGGTACCATACGCACTTTGAAATGAACACGTGGCACCACGACATGCATGCCCGTTTCATCGGACGCAACTTCAAGTGCGCGCGTGAAGTGCTGTTGGATGGTGCGAGGATACTCGTACGGTGAGCCCTTCGTCAGCTACTCCGACAGTGTTGTGTTTATGAAACACTCGGACGCATGTCGGTCGTCGTTGGCTGCCGCCTGGTCCCTGGCCTGGTCCTGCGTGCCCTCTATGACCATCGTTTCACGGTATTCCGTGGTACGACCGCAGGGGCACCTATCGCAATCGTCGCGTCGTGCTTTGCGAGATGACGGCATAGGACCAAGCACACGCACAGCCGGCCTGTCGGCGCCTTGGCATGTGGCGGAATGATAACGTCGGCCTGATCCAACCCGCGTACGAGCAACACCAACGTCCGAGACTTTAGGAGCATCGGGCGCCGCCTTCTTCTACTTGCGAGTGGCCAAGGCCTCGTGTCTCTTGCGCGCCGCGTCCCAACAATAAGACCGACGCTCGGTCTCTTCGTCTTGACTTGGCTGCGTTCTCAGGGTGCCACCCAGGCGGTTGCGGGTGCGACGCCAGCTGGTATCGCCCGACCTTGCCATTTGTATGCACCTGTTTACGTCGACGTTGGCCAACACGGTCGGCGCGACGGACGCCCTCGCTTGCCATTTCCGCTTTTTCCAGCAACAACCAACGCAGCACCATGAGCAGCATCATCGAGCAGATCGACGCCATGTGGAACGACCACAACAACGCGCGCAAGGACGTCTTTGAGTTTAGCACCAAGGCCGTCGAAGACGAGCCCGAGAACTCGGAGCTGCTCTGGCGCCTCGCCCGCGCCAACTACGAGTACGCGATCGAGAAGGCCGTCTCGAAAGAGCTCAAGAAGAAGCTCACGTACGAGCGCCTCGACATTGCCAACAAGGCCCTCGGCCTCGCGCCCGAGAGCGGCGACTGCCACAAGTGGTACGCCCTTCGATCCCGCCAAATCATTATTTCTTATGCAATTATGTGCTAGGGTCGGCATCTCGACGTCCGAAGTCAACGAATACGAGAGCGTCATCACCAAGCTCAACAGCGCCATGACGATCCGCGATCACTTTATGAAGGCGAGCGAGCTCAGCACGACCGACCCGATGGCGTCGCACTTGCTCGGCCGCTGTACGCTTTGCATTTGCTCAACACATCGCTCATGCGTGAAATAGGGTGCTTCCGCGTCAGCGACATGTCGTGGGTCGAGCGTGCGGCGGCGCGTGGCCTCGCGGGCCACCTCGCGCCGCACTCGTCGTTCGAAGACGCGCTCGCCAACTTTCTCAAGTCGGAGGAGATGCGCCCGGGCCACCTCAAGATGAACACGTGGTACATTGTGCAGACGTACGGCAAGCTCAAGCAGAAGAAGGAGGCCAAGGAGTGGGCGGCCAAGGTCGTTGCGATGCCCAACCTCCTCGACGAAGACCACGACATTGATGCGCTCGCCAAGGCCTATTTGTAAACGGTGTTGCGTGTGTCCTAGTTGTTAATACAACGCCGACGGCGATGTGTATCTTGTGCTTCTCGAATCTTAGCTGACGTGGATAGTTTTGGCTCTCTTGTCTCCGATAGAAGATGGCGAGTGTATGCTTCTAGGTGAAAGCATGCAGACGTACCCAGTAAGCAAGCTCGTTGCACTGCATACTGCTGCCTTCTGTCCTTCGACGACGCGGGAAGGTCTGCGAGATGCGGCGAGCGGTAGGATGGCGGAACCATCAAGTTTCACGCGGCTGCCCATTGCTGCATGGCATCGCCACCTTCGTAGGCTTCTGTGTTGGGACATAGAGCCCATATCGTACTAGGGTATCCGCTGTATCAATAGTCTTTGGTGTGAGAGTCACAGCAAAGGAGCACACGTGACGTCCTTTCTCGTCATCCGGATATCGCACCGCCCACAGGCTGCCAGCTCATAAGTATCCGGATACGAAACGCTCCAACCGCCTTGGCCACCGTGACGACGCAGCCTCGACTGGCGGCAACATATACGAGCGGTACACGTGCTTGGAGGTGCTAGTAGCAGGCGGCATCCTGCACGGCAAAGCCGGGAG